GAGTAAAATAGTGGTAACAACTTTCTACTTCTTACCTTTTTAAAAATGTAGTGAGTAGAAAGTACAGATAATTGTGTAAAAATGTAATGAGTAAAAGTAAAAAGTATGCTGAAAAATAATTACTCAAGTAAAGTACAGATAACCAAAATTTCTACTTAAGTACAGTAACAAAGTATTTGTACTTAGTTACTTTACATCTCTGACAGAAAATGTTTAAATGTCTTTAACTTTAAAGAAACACTTATTTTCTAATAATAGAAGAATGAAAAACATTTTAAATTTATGTAAAGTTTTATTAACACACTTTATGTTCTGCGTGTATTTTAGACTGAAAAAGCATTTTATTGGCAACAAAAATTACATTTTTATCTGTGACACAAGATAGAGAGTACGGCAGGCCTATTCAACTGGCGGGCCGTGGGCCACATCCGGCCCGGAAGTGACCAAAGTTCGGCCCATGAATTGGTTCATTCTTCTCGCCCAAACCTCCAGTTTTCTACTTTAATTACTCTGAATAATTTTAGTTAAACACTGACTTGTTTGGTATCTATGAACACTCAAGACAGTTAAAACTACAAGCAGTTGAAGATAAAACTATGAAAGTGAAAATAAAATTGGTTTAAAATTTGGCAAGTCAGAGATGTCAATATAATTTGTGATAAATAAGAAGCGTAATGTGTTATTTTTGTTTTTGATATTGTTTAATTATCACTACTTTTCTAGGGTTCTGTATGTTGTGTTTATGATTAAATACAGCAAAATAAACTATTTCAAAGGTAACAGATATTTGTAATACTTGGTTTATTTACATAATGTCTTTAATTGCTGTTTAATTATTTTTATCATACTTTTTGTGTACATAAGTGTACTTATTTTGAAATCCTGGGTGTTTATACTTATTTTATTCAAGTGTGCTTATTCTTTATTTTCATATTCCTCTGATCAGAACGGTTGCAACTAAAATACCTGTAATTTCCCTCGAGGATTAATAAAATATTCTGATTCTGATGTTTGGCCCCTGAGCTGCTGGTCTGCAGTAACTGTGGCCCCCGGAGAGATTTAGCTGAATAGCCCTGATTTATGGTTTCCAGTGGTCTAAAATAGAACTGAGATTTAAGATATTTATGATAATAAACTACATAGTAAAACTTTGAAAAGTTTCGTGACTGTAATGTCAAAATTTAAGAAAGTATTGAAAAGCTGAACTAATAGTTATTCTCACATTTCACTTATTATTCATCCATTCTGCACAAAAAAGTTTGCTCAGTGATTTAATTATTCTTAATCTAACGTTTTATTTAAAATAGAGCACAAATTATAATTTTCCATCTGAATTCAGCAACACTGAACACCTGCTGTCAGTCTGGAGTTTAACAGTGGTAACAAAACTAACCAAAAAGTTAGCTTCAGCTGATTCATTAGCCTAACGCTAAAAGCTAATCGTTAACCACTAAGAAGACTGTCACACATCTTTGCCTCCAACAATAAATGTTTTCTCAGCCATATTTCATACACAGTCACTTTTTGTTATTTAAATATAGTTAAATGTTGTTTTATTTCCCTTTTATGATAGTGTTTAGCTGCTGACAGTGCTACATGCTACACAGCTCCTCCTGCAAGAGCGAACCGTTTTTATTTAACTTGGGATAAATGGCAGAAAAATAAAAGTTTAACACTTGTGGATTTGTTTAGTAGACTTAAAATCAGCGGAACCTAATTTAGCAGAAGCTAATCTGTCCGCTAAAACTTTCCAGTTACCAAAAAGGCTAATCCACTTTGAAGTTATAACCTAAATTGAAAATTATTTTTCAGTAAAGATTCAAGACATTTAAAGCAACGTGATGTTCCACGCTGACATATTTTATGGTTCTGGTCTTGTCCTAAATTCTGCTTTTTGCCTTCTAGATGAAATTTGTAGACTTTGATCTGTGAAGTTTTTTTTAAGCTGTCAGGTTAAATAGTGGAGGAGTTGACGTCAGTCTGTGGTTGAACTTGCAGCAGCAGATGCAACCTGAGAGACGGGCGGTCGTGAGCAGACTGAAGCAGGAAGGATCCTGCTACCTGTCTGTGGATTGACTGTATTTACTGGGTAAGGTTAATATATTTAGCTTCTTCCAGGTGGTCTGTTTAGTTCCCAGAGAGTAAAGCCTTCTCTCCCTGTGTCTATTTCAGAGCCTTGAGTGGCAGGCAGCAATTACATGTCCTGTTTATCCCCCCCACAGGTAATCCAGGCTGGTCCTGCCATCATTAACCTCTTTGACACCGTCTTACAGACCTCATCAGGTTTTTTTCCCCTTTCTCTTTAAAGATTCAATAGTTTTCATATTTTTCTCTAAAGTTTAATATTTAAACAATAAAACTTTTATTTACTCCTCCTTTCTGCTGGGTTTGCATGATTATTGAAGTGTCTTCGCCACCTGGTGGTCACTGCGCACCCTGACAGCCAGGAAGGCCTCTGGGTTTATTCTGCACCTTGAAGCAGGTGGTTCTGGGTGCAACAAACAGTTTTCCTGTGCAACTTTAAAGCTTCGCTCTAAATGATTTGTAGTTCAAATCTTCTTGGAAACAATTATTCAAAAGCAACAGTTTCTCATTCCATCATAAAATTACTAATCTCACCAAAATAAATAAATAAATAAATAAAAGAGTCTTTCATTTTAAGATTGAGAACTGCTGTTTATTATTATTATTATTATCATTATTATTATTATTATTATTATTATTATTATTATTGTCAGTCACTATCACTGTATATTGTTTTACCTATGGTCCAGCAACTGATTTAATCCTTGCTAATCTAACATTTTATTCAGAATAGAGCTCAGATTTATAATTTTCCATCGCGGTTCACCCAGGTGAAAAAATATTATACTAAGTATACTAAATCTAGGTATACTTGAAGCCGCACTAATCATCAGTATACTTAAAGAGTGCTATTTTGGAACAACTAATTTAATACTAAATATATTTTAGTTGTATTTAAGTTGTACAAAAGCACAATTTTAAGTGTATTAAGTATACTTTTAAAAACTAAAATGGAACAACTTTAAATATACTTAGTACACTTTAAGTGTATATCTTTGTCTATACATACTAAACTCCTCCACTTGAGGAAGACTATTTATATAAATATAATCTCTATATAAATAACTATTAGAAAAATTAGTGTTCACAGCTGCTAAAAAACCTTTGAATGTGGAGTCGTTTTAAAAATCTCCAAAATTTGGTGATCCAAAGTGAAATTTACCCCAGTTAAAACATACATAACCTTTACAAATCCATACTTTAAAAGGATGTTTGTAAGAAATGCTGTTGTTAGTAAAAGTTCAAATGTAACTATTCTTAAAGTACCTGTGACATCAAGTTTTTAAAATAAATATAAATGTATTTTTGGAAAGATAACATTGATAACATATTGTAAAAAAGATTTTATCAGGCCAAGATGAACAGTTGTTGAGATATTCACATGTGAAGAAACAGGAAGTGATGTCAAAGGGGAATATCTGAATGTAAACAGAGTGTTTCTAAAATGCTAACAACACAGACTGTAGAGAAGAATCTAATGTTTCTTTAGAATATTTTAATCACTATCATAGAAAGATGAGGATCAGAGTTCAAACAATATTGTTTCAATAAACAAAAACCAGGAAGTTTTCTTTCTCAAAGAGTTCCCCTTTGATGTCACTTCCTGTTTCACTTTAGCTGAGCAAAATTCAAAAGAAAATCTGCCAATTGTGACATAACGGGTCAAATCGTTTATTATGCCGAGTTTCTTAATATAAATATATTTTCTTTGACTTTTTTTGTATTTCAGGGATATGCATGTCACAGGCACTTTAAGTTTGCCAAAAAAAGGCCTGATATAAAACATTCATTACATCTATAAAACATCTACAACTTACAACAAAATCTGAAAAAATATTAAGAATTGGCAATACAAATCTGATCACACAACTTGATATCTAAATCCACTTTATTCATAATCCAAATATACATCATCATCCCTTTCTCATCATCATCATCATCAATATCACAAGCACAACCATCACCCTTATTGCCACACTCAAGACTATCATTTTCACTGCATTATTTACATTTTTTTTCCAAAAGCTAAAGCTATGATAAATAAATAAAACATTTGGTCCTTAAATATATTTATATAATCTAGGCAACATGGTATCAAGTGTTAAGACAGAAATGTCTTGTTGCTACCTACAGAAAACATCAAACATCACAAGAAATGGTGCTGAAACACTTGTCAAAGGGCGACAGAAGGAGGACACCGCCGCTTGAACATGAGAGCAAAGTGTCGGGTAAACCGAGAGAATGAGGGGGGAGTCTGCCAGCGTCAAAGAAACAGTTAGCTGCAAAATTAGATGAAAGGCAGCCAGACAGACAGAAGATAAAAGACAAGGAGGCCAATAGGTGAGAAAGCCTACAAACAGACCCACAGAGAGGCACATATTCACAACACAGGAAGCTGGGTGGAACTGAATCATGTGAGCCACAGAGCACAGCAGAGCAGCATTGTGTGTCTCTACCTCACACACACACACTCGCACGCACTCACACACACACACACGCATAAAAAACAATTTATAGACGTCTTCAGAGTGAACATGTAGGATTTAAAATTTTGTATTGTTCAAAAACTAAACACCACACACCAGGAACGACAGAGCTACCAGTGGACTGCTCCTAAGTATTCAAATTTATGAGTACCAACTTTACAGTGATTTTTTTTTTAAAAATGGTGTAGAAGTATAATTATTGTTATTCTGATGAGAAAATGTTACACTTTGGTGAAGAATGGGAGACAAGAGGGAGGTGGAGCTGGAAACCAGTAAGTCTCTGTCCTATTGCCTGCTTTTTGACATCACAGTGGACTTTCTACCCAACAGCATAAACAGTTTTATCTTATCACATTTATAGTCATTAGAAAGGTAATTTCCTGGTTCTGATTAGTAAAATGCAGTGGTGGGCACTGAGCACAGCTGGTTAAAACTATAGCTTCAGTAGCTAAAGCGCTAAACATGTAAAACATTATTAAATTTGCAGAAGTTAACGCTAACCAGCTAAATATGTACAAATGAGAGGAAGCTAACAGCTAATCAGCAAGACAACTGTCACTCAGTGTACGTCATGTCTTTGACTCCTTTCAGCTGAAGAGTAGTGGGACAGACAAAAACTTGTTGATGGTATTTTGCAGTGGTGGGCACCAGTCCGCTGAAGCGCAAATCCGTTAATTGCGTACCTAAATATTTCGTTTGCGCTTTAGCTGTCTTATTAATTTTAATAATTCATAAGCGAATTTGCACTTTCTTAAATTAAAATGCAGTACTGCTAATAACTAATTATCTACCAATCATTATCTTGAACAGCGGAAGGTATGACTGTCAATGAATCACAACACGCGATCTATCCAACAGCACCCCTCCCAGATAAACACACTTATTGGGAAGGTATACATCCTGCTGACTGTTGCTTTGGGTCAGTTCTCATTTTCCACAATGGTTTGTGTCTGCTTACGTAGCAGGAAGGCAATGTTTAGTACTCCTTTTCCCAGCAAAAACAGTAAACGTTTGTAATCCATACTAAAATTTTGTATGTATTGATTTATTTTACTTTACAATCAGAGCTCATTTAAAAAAAAAGTTTAAACGCTGGAGCTCAATACTTGAGGTAACTGGTCGAAGCAATCCGCCAACAGGGTTAGAGACTCAGAAATGATTTAATGCTGATGAAGACTGACATCTAGTGGTCAACTGGAGCAACTACATGGAAAAAGTTCGTTTCCCATCACAAATCAAATCCATGATGTACCCAGAATGCATTGCTTCAGTTTTCCAATAAACAGTTTTAAATTACTTTATTGATGCTTCTTTAATGAAAAATCTACAACAAACAAAAGAAAACGACAAAAAAGCAACCGAATTAGCAATCCTCAACAACTTTTTAAACAATCAGCCGAACTAGCAATCCTCAATAACTTTTTAATTTTTACACCATGAGCCAAAGTTCTGTTTCAGGAAATCACATCCCCAGCAATCAGCGGTTGTAGGAATAAGCTGTAAAAGGGTTCATACACTGCTAGTTGGCAGTGTTGTACATATATTGTGCATGAATTGTTGCCAGCTGGTAAGTGTCAAATTGAACTTGCGCTTTAAAATTAGCTTCTGCTAATTTTTCTATGGCATAAGCATTTTTGAAGTTGCGGATCTAAATATTTTCTTAAACGCTTAAGATATTGCGGAGCTAATTTTTTGGGTTAATGCTGCCCACCACTGGTATTTTATTAGTTAACTGTTAGCAAATTTAAAGTTGGCAAAACCTAATTTAGCGGAAGCTAATTGGTCCACTAACAGTTTTCAAATTTAGTGAAACATGTTAAACGAAAAATTTGTTATGCTATTAGCTGTTAGCTGAACCATGCCCACCACGGGTAGAATGTGCCACAAGTATTGCTGTTTTAATTTACTTTAAACACTCAGTTGTTCATAAATTCTTGTATAAAAGGCAACAGGACTTCTTTTCTTGTATCTTGAAGACATTTTCCTTTTCTTCTAAAATACTTCCTTTTTAAGTTCCTGATATTAGATTAGAGGTTTAAAGTTTATAGCCACAAAATTGCCTGATCCATAGCCCATCCTGTCATCCTTTTAGTGTGACTGTCACAATTATAGTATAATTTATCAATTCAATTCCTATTTAAAGAAACAATACGTTCAAGAAATGCATATCGCAGGCCATCCTACACACCAAAGTTTAACCAAAGATCATATGTGAGCTCATAATGCTTCGAATACATGTCAAGTGGTCATTCGCAACAATTACACCAAATTTTAGTTCAATAACTGTAAAATCAGCTGAGTTTTTGCCATTTATTGTTTGCCAAGATTACCTATGGTGGCCATCTTGAGTCAGGTTCACCCCAAGAGTTAATTAGTTATAGATTTATAGCCAATCATTACTTTCTGAAAATCTCATTAAAATCCATTCAGGGAGTTTGTAAATATCTTGCTACCAGACATGCAACCAAACCACCTTTCATGGCGGCAGCAGATAATAAAATAAATCTAAACCTCTCAACCTATAATCTGAACTGAAGAAGCAGAAGTGAGGCATCTTCAAGGGACAAAAAAAAACGAAGTCCCGTCGTTTTCTGTTCAAGCGCTTAGAAACAACAATGACCTGGATTACAGAGATTCTACTCCCAATCTTTGCTTCGGTCCTGGTTTTATGTGTGCCATAAATACTGTATATTGCAACATATTTCCACTTCAGCTCCCCTGCTTGCTCCAACAATCACTATCACAGATACACGTATGTATACATGTGGATGTTCAACAGACTCTCTTTAGCGAGTACCGCCCACCCGACGGACCCACGAAGTCTTTCGCAGTGATCGATGGCTTGTATTAGAGTCACACGATGAATTTCGCCTGATTTTCTAAGACAACCACATCCTAGAGTAAAATCAAGACCTATGTACTGTTTATGTGAGCTCATCGGGTGTCTGCATATCCATGGCTCTGCTGGTCATCGACGCACACTCACGGGAAACGTTCTTCCTCTTACATGTTTGCAGGCAATTTGTGCCGAAGTCCCTCTGAGTCTGTTCTGGTGAGTGTCAGCTGAGGGTCCTGTTGCCCACCTTTCGGGGAGGTGGAGTTGGCTGAATGTGCTGTCTGGGTGGGTGCAGTGTTGGATGCCTGAGAGGTCTGACTAAGGATAGGGGGTGTCGATGGTTTTAGGGGCTGAATGGAGGCAGGTGCACCACTACTAGAGGTTGCGGTGGCAGTGGAGGAGTTGGTAAAAAGAGAAGGAGGGTTTGGACAAATATTTACTGAGGACGAAGTTGTCGATGAGAGTTTTTGGACAGGTCTACTCGAGCTGGACGTGGAGCGGTGAGTGAGGACAGGGGATGTTTGCTTCACGGGGTGAACCGAGAAAGTGATTTTTGTTGGAGAGTTGGTGCTCGCAGGTGTCGAGGCAGAGGTTGAAATTTGGGTTGGAGTAAGAGGTGAAGTTTGTTTTGGGGTTTGGCTTGAGGTGGGACCTCTGGCTGAGCTCGAGACAGAGGACGGGAGACAATGCGTTGGACTCTGGGATTTACTCAAAGAGGGGCCATGTGTGGCTGGGACGGGGGACGGAGACGATGTGGGTGTGATCGTCTGAGTTGGAGTGGAAGGTCGGGTACGGGTTGTCTGAGTGGGAGTCAGTGCTGGTGATGCAACCGGGGTCAGGACAGGGCTGGGGCCGGACAACGGTGAAGCAGAAGGGGGCGTGTTTGACGCCTTGGCCCTGGGGCTCTGGGTATGTGGTGGAGAAGACGAGAGCAAAGAGGATGGAGGAGAGGAGGACATGAGAGAGGACTTTGGCCCGTAGGGTTGAGTCAGAGGGACTGGGGTTGAAACAGACGAGGACGGAGGTGTGGTGGACGGAGAGGGAGAGGAGGAGCGATGAGAGGGTGAGGGAATAGGTTTGGGACGAGGAGTGGATAGTGGGCTGGCCCCCGCTGAAGGCGGGGTGGAGCAGGGTGAAGGGGAGGAGGAGCGGGAAGGTGTTGTTGGGATTGGCTTTGGGTAAGGTGTCTGGGAGTGTATAGGTGAGGGAGATGAGGGAAGGCCTGCAGAGGAGAGTGAGGCCTGTTTTGGAGGAGAGGATGACCCCAAAGGAGGTGTAGAAGGTATGTGTGCAGCTACGGAGGCAGTGTGAGATACCGATTGTGTGTATTGGGCTACGTTGGCAGGAATTGCCTGTGTTACAGTGGGCTGAATTTGTGCAGTGAACGGTATGTTCGTCAACAACTGGAGAGGAGGGTTAGAGGTCAGTATGCCTGCACTGCTGCCCCGGGCCAACTGTCCAACAAAGAAAGGAGCTGCCAACAAATTGCCACCAGAGGCCTTTCGGTGGAGAGGAGGATGAGACTGCACGGCAGCCCAGGAGCGATGAGGCAGAGTGGGCTGTGAGGCCGACATCAGCCTGGCCTCTTGGGTGAGTCGGCCCAGCGCTGGTAGACCCTGACAGCTGTTTCCTCCGTGGCGTAACAGGGCCTCTTTCGCTCCCTGTTGACAGGCATCTGATGGGCCACAGGAAGAAGCAGGCGGGGCGGGGGCTGAGACCTTGTGGAGCGGAGAAGCTGGCCCCCCTGTCGCTGGGATTACAACAGCTCCGGCTGGGATTGAGGCATGATCAGCCTGAAAGCGAGGACCGTAATGAAGAGTGCGTCCTTGTTGAACAGACGTTTGGACAGACGAGGCCGGAGTTGGTGGAGTTTTAGCGACGGGAGGCGACGTCATCCCGCCTGGAGGGCCCAAGGTTGAGGGGGAAAGTGGAAATCCTCTCGGCGAAAAACCACTCATTCCTCCTATCGTCATCATGCCGATGAGAGAACTCACAGAGGGACGAAGGGGTTGTAGCACAGGGGCACGAGGAGACGAGAGAGGAAAGGAGGATGAGGGAGAAGGAGAAATCAGAGGCGAGGGCAGGAAAAAACCTCCTGCAAGAGCATGCTGCTGCTGCAGCTGCTGGAGCTGCTGCTGTTGTTGCTGCTGCTGGTGCATGAGGGCGATGGCTACATTACTGGTGGCGGCTGCAGTCTGCAACGGAGCATGGACCAGTGGAGCCCAGATAACGGGGCGGGGTCGAGGGGACACGGTGCCGCTCCCTCCAATCACGCCACTTCTTCCTGCAGCAGCAGCAGCGATGGTGTCCTGCATGGCTGGCATGCTGTCGTGTTTAACGATCTGCTGCACGAGCATGCTGTCACAGGATCCAAGACCGCTTGCCGCAAGGCCACCTGCACCTCCAGGTCCTCCACCACGACCTCCACCACGACCCATACTACCTCCAAGAGAACCACCCTGGGATGACTTCCGAAGGAGCATAGAGTTCTTCCTGCCTGTAGTGTGGTAAAAACAAAGAATACAAGCCTTGAACATTTTTCTTTTCATTTATCTTAAAATGATTTAAGGCCCAAATCATTGGACACGTTTGTTTTAAATGGATTTCATTGAGAAAATTACGAATCTATATTATTTTCACAAATGGACCTTGGCAAGTATACAACAACGTTTGACTAAAGTGCCAGTGATATCAAGAGACCAAGATTATGGGATAAATCTTGTGCTTACATTGAATCTGAATGTGCATAATTTGAAATAGAATGCATTGGTTTGAAAATAAATTTCACTAAATTGAAACTGAATTTAATGATTTAAATTTGAATTAATTTGCTTTGAAACTGTATTTTGGTTTATTAAAAATTCAGTTTGACTACTTTCACTTTCAGTTCCATAATTCAGATTTTTGTATCACATCCTGGTCCTTGAGAAAGCCAGGCAGAGTAATCAAACACAGATCCACAGATTTATGTTTCACTTTGGTGAAGTTTCCCTTCTGTATGTAACAGAGTTGATGTAAATGTAACATTTTCTACATATAGGTCAAATTAGTCACTGCAATAAAATAACTTTGTCTGTTTTTGTCACTTTTACAGTGGATTGCATCAACTCTGTTACATACAGAAGGGAAACTTCACCAAAGTGAAACATAAATCTGTGGATCTGTGTTTGATTACTCTGCCTGGCTTTCTCAAGGACCAGGATGTGACACAAAAATCTGAATTATGGAACTGAAAGTGAAAGTAGTCAAAATGAGTTTATAATAAACCAAAATACAGTTTCAAAGAAAATTAATTCAGATACAAAACTTTAAATTCAGTTTCAAACCAATGCATTCAGTTTCAAATTATGCACATTCAGATTCAATCTGAGCAATTCAAATTCAGTTCCTGCTGGCACAAGATTTATCCTATAACAGATGGATAATTGCAAATATTTGCAGTGGTGGGCACAACAAATCAAAATGTTAGCTTTGCTAACTCACAATTTGCTAACTAAAATATAGCTTTTCTAATGCTTAACATGCAAAAAAAAAAGCTGGGGAAGCTAACACTAAACAAGTAAAATTTCTTGGACGCTAACACTAACTGCTACCTGCTAAGACGATTGAAGCTACTTGGTCTTAATCTGCTAAACAAAACATTAGTTCTGATATTAGCAGAACCATGCCCACCACTAAGTATGTGGAATTGTTAAATCCAAATAAAAATAAATAAATAAAATAGAAAAAGAAACTGGGCAAACAAGATCAAGAGATAAATTAATTAAACAGGAATTCACAATTTACCAATACGGTCCAAACGATCGACAGCAACAGTCTCAAAGGCACGTCGCATCATCGGGTGTTCCTCCAGAACCTCGTTAAAGCTGTCCACGCTGAGAGAGTACAGACGGCAGTACGTATCTGAACGAACACTGGCTGTTCTTCGTCCACGAGTCAACAAACAGATCTCTGACCATGACAGGACACAAGTGACTTTGTGAGACAGCTTAGCTCCACACGTATACAAGGAAAACAACAAAGTGAACTCTTATTATTTACTTTTAAACTGGGTGAAACTTTTCCACTTTGAAGAAAAAGTTTAAAAAAACATCTTTACCTCCAAAGTACGATCCGTCACTCAGTTTGGTTTCCTTGTTGCCACGGGTCAGCACACTGACCCGTCCATGCTGGATAAAATACATCTTGCGTCCAACAGTTCCTTCACGTATGATAAAGTCCGCTGGTTGGAACACCTCGAAGCGGAGCTTGGTCAGCACGGCGGTCACAAAGTTGGGATCAGCGTTGGCGAACAGTGGCATGTTGGCCACCAGGCTCCGGCAGTTAAAACTCACTATCTCCTAAATGAAAATAAATAGCATATGAAGGAAGAAAAGGAATACAAGTCAAATGGATTTGCTACAAGCAGGAGCAAAGTGGGTGTTTGTGAATTTATTACCTCCTTCAGTGGCTCACTAAGCTCTCCCAGAATGTTCTCCTCGTCGAACATTTTGCCCTGGAAGCGGTGCTCGTAATACTCGTGGATCTTTTGTCGCAGGTCTGCAGGAAGCTTGTGAAAGGACATATACTGCTCCACCTGTTTGTACTGCAATAACATAAGCATAAAAACAGTTAGTTTGAGAGAAATCAATTACTTTTTTGATATACAGACTGTACTAATATTTTGGATGGAAACTGTGGTGTTGAATTATTTATTCAGTCAGATGATTGCCAATCTGTTTCCACCCTAAAGGATCAGTGAAACAGATTTATTTTGTTCTTTCTTCTCATTAAAAGAGACAGAGAACAGTTTTCATTGAGAAATGTAAAATGTTCAACAGCAGCAATCATCGGCACCGTAGGGTGCGTCTTTAAACTGTAATTTTCACACAAATGTGACTCATTACGTTAGAGTTAGAAATGTGAGCGCATGCTGCAAATGTTAGTTTATAATCCAATTGGGAACATTTTTCTAATTTGTTTACTAAGTGTGTGGAAGGAAAATGTCTGTAACTAAGATTACATGTTGCACAAAAAAAGAAAAAGGAAAAAAAAGAAAGATTTTGTGCTTTCTGGTTTATTTAACAGTTATTTGTGTAAAGTGCTTTTAAAGAACTGTAGAGACATTGCAGTTTGTTGACAAATCAAATGTTTCTTCAGAATTCAGCACTTTTTTCATAGTTTTGAAACATAAAAGACCAGAATTAAATTATCCAGGATTCTACCAGATAAAATAACAATTAAACCTGAGTCCTATCTTTATTTATGATAGATGTGCTTTATGTCAACATTAATTCTTCCAGATTTTAGAATTTGTTTCCTTTATTTCTTTGTATTTTGCATCTAAGAAGAAAGACAAATTAAAATTAAAATTTTTAGATTGTTTTTGTATTGTTTTGAAATAAGAAAAAATTGAGTCGAATCAAGTATTTCAAGAATCTTACCAAGTAAAATGTTCTTACTCCACTGGCAGAAATGTTTGACTTAATTTGAGTCAAATTTTCAGACTAACAAGACAAATAATCTTACACATTCTGAAAACAAATCAGTCTCAAAACAAGATCAAAAAGACTTTTTGGCTGCAAATAAGATTTTAAAACTTGGTAAGATGGACAGTTTTTGCAGTGTGAAGCTATGAATTGTTGTTTGAGTTGATGGTTTTATGATTTTGTTGTTGTTTTTAGCATTGTTTTGTAAATTATGTTTTGTTTGAATATATTCTGGGGACAAAAGGGGCAGACATAAGATTTATTCTTCTGCTACCTTTCATTTTATTTTGATTTTTGATTTGTGCATTTCTTGGTTTTTTATTGAATATAGTTATTTTTTAATGAAATTAAATTTTTTTGAATTTGAATAAAAAGCTTCAATCGGATCAGTTAGACACGTTTGCAGCAGCAGACGGATGACAGCCGTGCTTCACCTTCTCCTGATACTGCCGCCGCGAGGAGTCCAGCGACTGGATGAGCGCGGTGGCGTGGCCGATGAACATGGCGTAGCAGGTGGCGCCGACGATCATGCTGAGCATGGTGAGCCACACGTCAGTCATCCCCTCAGGAGCCTGGGCGCCGTACCCAATGCACAACATGTGGCTCATGGCTTTGAACAGAGCATAGGAGTACTGCACACCCCATGTGTCGTTCTGTGGGGGGGCAGACAGGAGTAGGATTAAAGTGGTGTTTAATAAGACGCTGAGAAAAATCACAGGAAACACAGATCACAACTAAAAACAGAACAATAAATGAGCCCTGTAAAGAGTCGTGTGTGCGCTTTCTGCTCTCTGCTTTGTGTGTCGGTCCAATTATAAAGGGATGCTAATGATGCTAATGGTCCAGGGATGAAGGGGCTTTCTCTGGGGGAAAAACCCAACATCCGCCTGCTTAGCAACCGTCACTCGTGGCAACCAGCGAGACGTGAGTCAGCTGTTCACACAACTGTGCAGCGGCTGCTGAAGCTCCCCCGCTGTTTACGTGTGTTTGCACCCTCTCCACCTGATCTCTGGTGGGACTTTTTAATTAGAATTTCTCTCTTTATTTTCCTACAGATGAATTTATGAACAGTGAGAGTCGATCTTGTTCGGCTGCGTGAGCCAATTATGAGGAAGATAAGGAGGAAACCGTGTCACATCTGATAAACAGCTCCAACACGCCTTCATCCCAAATAAATATTGATCAAACAAGCCGAGATAGAGCTTGTGTGTGATTTATTCAGCTCCGCCTGCAGTGCTGGCTCTAGACTTTTTGGTGCCCTAGGCGAGTTGAAGCCCCCCACCCTCCCCGAACTATGTCCCACCCACCCCAATTTAAACCCCTAAAAACAAGTTTGACAGTGTAAGGTATGGTAAACTTCGATTTATTTGTTTTCCCAGAAAGCAAATAAATAACAACATACATGTCAACTTGTATGGATTGTCCGTAAGTTATAAGGATTTTACGTCATTTTGCAGGTATACGGGCGTATAGGGCAATCCCACGGATTTTTTCAAGTCTTACGGATTTTTTCAAAACCTCATTTTCAAATTTATCTAACATGTCAGAGCCTGTAGGATGATTTAAAAAAACAAATAACATTAAACAGCCATCTTCCAACATGTTCTGTCGGTAGAAATAAGTTTTGAACTTTTTCCGCTCTCCTTTCCTCCTGCTTCACAGCGAGGCTGACACAAGCAGGACGAATCAGTGCAACATCAATCAAATGAGAGAGAGGGTGGGGGCGAATGCTGCATTGGG